CATGTTATATTAGTAAATACCCCTTAAGAGATTTCCTTCCTATAAACACTTTTGCTAGTGAGTGATGGTTACGAAGTAATCAAGTTTAGTTACAAGACCAGAGTCAACGGTGCGGAAACAACCACACAAAAAAATCGAGAGCGCGGTAACTTGTGTCGTCGGCGAGCGAAGTAGACCGTTACAGTACGGCATATTTACGATTGCGAGAAACATCTAGGAGGCTTTTCGTAGCCTGTACTCCAGGCCAGTTGTGAGTAGCTCGTGGTACATGTATACCTTCCCCTCCGCAGTTGCGACGCGGGCTCGTTTATCTTCTCCATTTATTTAACCAATGGACGGTGCTCCTGATGGGAACGGCAATATTGACATTCGCGTCGAAGACAACAATGGCGGCCACGATCTCGTCGGCGGCGACAACGGCAACCAACATGAAGCTGCGCGCGCAGCGCCTGTGCAGTTCTACCAACCGGACGAGGATGTGGTTGCCATGGTAAACGCTCTAGCCGCCTCCCCCGAGATCGCCGCTGAAGTCATCCACTCCCTGGGGAGCAATGGCCTGACTTCCCCGCAGCTGGTCGGCTCGTTGTCCTCGACTTCCGTGACAAGGGTAACTAATCATCTTTCCATCGCCGCGGCCGCCACACTTGAGTCCTTGGCTGAGGAACTAGGCGCCATAATCCGCAAGAGGCGTAAACTTCATGCCGAATCCGACGCTATCACCCAAAGGTCGACGGTGCAAGTTGAGGCTATAATCAACCATTCGATCAAGAACTACCACTCTCCCGTCCCACCAAGCCTCTTCTACGGATCTCTTCCTCGGTCATCACCGCCGTCAGCAATACGAAGAATGGCTGCTATGTACCATTCAAGGATATCATGGAGAAGCCGGAGTTGCCTAGTGAGGGTCTGCCCGACTTCAAGCAGAAAAGACAGTCTTATGGCGGTCTCTCTACGAGCCCGGTGATGAGAGTTAAGTACCGAATTCTAGTACGGAATGGTCCTTATGTTTGCTACGGTTCGTTCTACTCGTTGCTGGTACAGTAGACCCGAAGGTTCTCTCTCCGGTCGACATCCTAGCCTACAGCGCACGTATCCTAACCCTGGCGAGGTCTATGCTTTTGGTGACTATTCTCGTCTACGACGACCGCTATCGTCGCGGGGTGGCAGCTGTCATGGCTGCCAATGCCCAATTCTCATTGCACCAGTGCTTTCTGACCGGCACCAATCCGGCACTACTCGCCGAAGTCGTCAGTTCTTCACTGCGTTCCGCCAACCACATGAGAGCTCCTGCCGCGATTGGCAGTAGAGGTCGTAGTAGAGGCTCTACTGCGAGTCGCGGCGACTCGCAGCGGCGCAAGGCCTGTAGGAACTTCGCAGGAGGTATATGTACGTGGGGTGATAGGTGCAGGTACGCACACGATCTATCGGTTAAGCCCAACTCGAGCTCAACGGAGCATCCCCAGGCCGACTCGGCACGTAGCCGAAAGCGCCCCACCAAGCAGGCAGACAAGCCAAGTTCCTAATAGGAATTCCTATGCTGGGGGTAAGCCTGACCAATAATCACCGACTAGTTATCGGAGGCAATGTTGCCGTATCTCTCGTGTATCGTCTCTACTACGTAATAGAGTCTATGATGCATCGCGAGTCTGAGCATCATATGAGTTCGCTCTGAGTAGACGATCGTTCTAGTGGCTACGAAAGCCAGAATATTTATCGTTAATCAGCATTTCGTTAATGCTCAGGTGGTTGGTTTCCAGTGCGCTTACGTCCGTGGAATCGGAGCGTCGTGCTCCACGAGTAACTAGTCACAATGACAGCAAAAGGCCCTCAGTCGGTCAGCACGTCAGAGAACTGTTGATTGATGGCTCAAAGCTGAGGTGAGATATCAATGAGGCCCAAGGATATCGGGACGGGACCGGGTTGCTAGCGGCCCTACCGTCCGTAGCGACTACCGGAAAGTGTCCACAACTCTCCTTATGTCGAGTTCAGAGACACATCACGTTATAGGACAACCACATGTCACCAACACATCTGCATATTTTACCGCACCTCAATGTTGTATCGCATTCACCCTTTCTTACACATGCTTCGGGCAGTCATTGGTATCATATCAAACCCTTCCCGATCTGCTAGTATCAACTTCGACAATCTAAACAAAAACATAAAAATAATAACTGAAATAATAATAATTGAAATTCACCAATAAATTTCTCGGTTTCAAATCTCTATGGACGACTCCAGCTGAGTAAAAGTATCTGAAATTCATATCAATTACTCCTACACGAGTATTGATATATTACTTAACACCATGTAGCACTTGGTAGAGGAAAAAAATACATTGCTCTGAACGAAAAAAAAGCATTGGTTTTCACCCTAATGTTAGAATTTTCATAATAGAGCGAAAATTCTTCAAGGGAATTTTGGGGAACTAATGATAATTTTAACCTAAGTTATAAGAAAATTTTCAAGTAGAAATCCTTCAAGAAAAGTTCGGCAAATTGATGTTAATTTCACCCAAAATCATATGTGAATTTTCATAGGAAACAACAGTTTCTAGAATTACCTTTGTGAGATTTTGTTTCGTCTTCAGAAGCGCTCCTAGATCTGTTTCGAACAAATCGGTTACGATGCAGACGTGGGTGAAATCGTGGACTCCACCAAAAGTCATAATTGAATCTGCGGGAAAACTGTTATAATACTAATTTTAACCTCACTCAATTTCAACCTCACGACAGTGGAGTTTCATCCTAGTGATGTGAAGAACACTAGTGAAAAACATATCTCACGGCTACTGCATATCACCGCGAATAAAATCGCGTTTTTCACCGAGTTTTACGGCGCTTTGCGTAAAACGGGTAGTCGTGAATCTCCACTGTAATTCCACGTTTCCTGGGCCTCGTTAGCACGGCCTATGGCCGTGCTGGTTCCCCTCCGGTCTACAGTAGACCGGAGACCTTTAGTGTCACTGTTTATTACTGATATATCAAGTTCTCGTTGTAGTTTTTTTGGTTGAGGGTCGAAGGATGAAATCTAGGACAGTTCAGCAACATTAGCATTTGCTAAGCATTCGATCGCAGACATGTAGATCAACGAATTCTACGCATTCGGAGGTATGTTAGGGTTGGGACCCAACCGTTGGGTCGATTGCGGCAGGTCCTGGGAGCTTGATATTGGACAGGGGGCCGAAGGTCTGCGGAGATTCCATCTCAGACTCTTCCCAGAAGTTTACTCACTTTTGACCCGAAAACCACCCACGGGACCGGCCGCAACTATTGATAAGTGCGGTATTACGTAACTCGCATACGCTCTATGGCTCAGCAACCCCTTGCTGGGTGGGGAAGGCGGGGGTGAAGTATCTTATTTCCTTCCTTAAAGGGCCACCCGGGCTTTTGCTTACGTTCGACCCAGAATAGTAGACCCAGTTAACTAGAATACAAAGTGAAGTATAACTCGGCGAACTCTTTGTTGTAAACCTAGCCGATATTGTCACAATATCATTGTGCATCGCAGGAAGGTTTTCAGTCTTGACAACAAATAGGTTATGGAATATTTATCCATGTTTTGAGTTCCATTCATCGGCCATAGTACGACTTACGAGTGACTCACGACAGCCACGAAGCTTCTCCGTCAAAGAATCTCTGATAGGCGCGATGGTCGCCATTGGTGTAGAGTAGTATATATCAACTACCATTGCTGGTTAATTCATATTAACGTGGATGAGCAGCAGCTACGGCAGTCTCTGAAAGTCCCGTTTTATGAGATATCCCGTGATCATGATGAATCTTGATTTATGATTCGAATCTAGATATCCATGATAACTTATCCTGGACAAGTGATGTTGCGCAAAGAGGTACAATTCTTCCCACCAATCCGACTTCTCTATTCACCGTCGAAGAGGATCAGAGCCTCTGGTCCACAGCCTCTGGTCCACAGCCTCTGGTCCACAGCCTCTGGTCCACACCCTCTGGTCCAGAGGCCATGTTCGTCTCCAAATGCAGCGTTTAGTCCAACGCCGGCCCCGCATACGGCAGCAGCTATGCCAAATCTATTCGTCCCGTGAGCCCCATTCAATGGGGCCGTTATGCCAGCCACAAATTTGTCCGTGAGCCCCATTCAGTGGGGCCGTTATGCCAGCCACAAATTTGTCCGTGAGCCCCATTCAATGGGGCCGTTATGCCAGCCACAAATTTCTCCGTGAGCCCCATTCAATGGGGCCGTAATGCCAGCCACAAATTTCTTCGTGAGCCCCATTCAATGGGGCCGTAATGCCAGCCACAAATTTCTTCGTGAGCCCCATTCAATGGGGCCGTAATGCCAGCCACAAATTTCTCCGTGAGCCCCATTCAATGGGGCCGTTATGCCAGCCACAAATTTGTCCGTGAGCCCCATTCAATGGGGCCGTTATGCCAGCCGCAAATTTGTCCGTGAGCTCCATTGAATGGGGCCGTTATGCCAGCCACACATTCATCTGTGAGCCCCATTGAATGGGGCGGCGAAGTATGACTGCGTCCACTGTGGACGCACAGACACGCGCGACGCACAACGATATAGAATGCAGAACCATGCCAAGAATACCGACATAGTCGATTATATAACAGTGACCATGAGAGTAGTTATCAAAACAAGCAAATGCTTTTTGTATGCCGATGCAGCACACGTTGCATACATAAGACACTTGTCTCACACGAATGATTATGGTTTTTAATGCTGTGCGATCGCTGTCCTCACATCGCGTGTTTCGAAATTTGAAGATTCAAATTCAGCCAACTGTGTTTAGGTTCAATCCTGGGAAATACACAATGCGAAGATCACGAAATTGATAACTACTCCGAGAAAACTCGAAATAACGCTTGCGTATCATCGTCTGATCAGACCAGGGTCCAGGAAAGTATTTTCCGTCCTGCCCGAGCATGATATAACTGCAGGTTTCAGCCACACGTTTGGTGCGTGCCTACGAGTACGATCATACTAGAATGTCAGGAATTTACTTCCATACTATCATGTTAGTACGCTCGGCATTCTTATCGACACTACTCGCATATGTCGTGGCCTTCGATAGAGCTGCCACCAACCGTACGCTGGTCGCGATATCCTATCGTGGGACCCGACTCGACATCCGTCATGTACCGGATATGATGGCACAGGTCATCGCTGGTTCCGGTGGAGGGATATACACCCTCAGTCAAGACGACCGTGAGTGTGAGCGATGCTTCGCACAAGATGGCATGGTGTATGACTTGAAGGCGATAGGGATTCAGATTGTAGAGTCTGAATGCTCAGTTGGTCACAGTCAAATTCTGAACTACTTGAAGAAAGCCGAAGATGTGCTAGGTATTGAATTTCAGTGTGAGCCCGACTCTGAGGTAAGTCTAATCCCGGACCCCCCGTCGCATACAACTCAAGATTCTGCTAATTGTACTGGCGGCAATTCCGTTCTCGGCACCAACGACCCCGGCTCTTCCTGCCAGCGTAATCTCGAGATCATCCACATCGGTGCGGCCTGGCGAGCAGCTCGCTCGGCTG